ATAATTTTTTAGTGTTAAACAATACTTAAAAACTATTGAAAAATTAAAAATCATTTACAAAATCCACAAAAAAAAATACATGGTGGTGGCGGGTGGCCCAGCACGTGTCATGGCCCGCTTCACTTAGTCTTGTGCCGCGAGCGGACTGGGCTGAGGTCTAAGCATGAACAAGCGACAAGACTCGATCCGCTTGTCTCGCTGCGAGACATAGGTCTCACCACTGAACCCGCGCGAGCTGGGTGGTGGGATGAGTCAGCTCGTCCCGTTGCCCACTTCTACTTATAAGAACGTGTTGAACTTGAGCATAATTTAGACAAGCGAAAAACAAAATAATATATTGTCTTCAAATCACTTTTCTGTAGAAGCATATAGGATTTACTTGTTGTTTATTAGCAATTGTTTTTAATTGTGTCTAATACTTTTCCCCCCTTGTTTTATAACCATGTCAGAATCGAATATAGTACCGTGGGAGTCATATTAAAAGAACCTCCTAGACGCATGGTTCACCTAATGTGGATATATAATTGTGTCTAGACTTAAAGAGTTGTCATGTTTTCTTCCTACATTACTTTCCATGTGACTATAGGAAAGGAGGAGGTATTTAAAATCTATATATTATATTATACTAATATAAAAAGAGCTAACTAATGCTGAGGACAAAATAGATGAGTGATGGACAAACAATCATTTCCAGTTATTTTAAAAAAGATCAGATTGTAATTTTACATGGAAAGATTTTTTTTCTTTTTTAATTTGTTTCTTTCTAGAACATTTTATGTAATTTTTCAATGAATGATTTGTTTATCTTTTTTACTCCCTTTCTTTTCTAAAAAAATTCTATGGCATTCAATATCATGAAAAAAGATGGAGCCTACATAATGGATTATTTTTTTAATATTTGAAGTTATAAAAGATATTACAAAGAGAATAAATATCTATAAATAAACAGATTAGGTTCTAGACGTATATCTATGCTACAATTTATTTGCACCAATACACAAAACAATAAGGACAAGATAATTAGAGGTTCAAGTTCAAATAATGAAGGTAAAATCTCTTCGAAAGTCAAGCGTCATTTGCTATCTCCTCCTGCTATTAAGTGTATATTCTAAATAAAATGGTAATTATTTCACATTCTTTCTGGATGCAAACATGCGAAAATAATATGTTTTCGTATCACATGCATTTGCACGTCTTGAAACTATACGGTTGCACTTCACTTGCCTTACAAGTTGAAGCCACTTTCTTTTCTTCGTCCTCAGCCTTGAACTCCTCGGCCTCCTGCACCATCTTTTCAGTCTTCTCCTTGCTCAGCATGCCCCTATCATTGGCGATGGTGATATTTTTCTCTTGACCGATGCTCTTGTCCTTAACAGAGACGTTTGGGACGTACGCTGTTGGCATCAATGTCGTAGCAGACATTGAACTGAGCAACATCACAAGGAGCAGGGGGAATGGTTGTTAGAGAGCTCAAACATGCAGAGCAAGTCGTTGTCCGTTGAGGTTGTCTTCTCGCCTTCATACACCTTGAACGAGATACAGGTTCAGTTGTCGGCAGAAGTATAGAGTACCTCCTCCTTGTTGTAATTTTGAACTGAGAAGTGAAGAAAACTTTGACTAAGGCTAGTATGATAAAGAATTAGAGAGAGAGAGAGAGAGAGAGAGAGAGAGAGAGAGAGAGGGAGGGAGAGGGAGAGAGAGATGTAGAAGAAGATAGAGAATTTGGTGCTTATGTTTTCTTTTTTTTCATATATCAAATTCTCACACTCATGAGTTTATATAGACTTATACATGACCCTTCATATTCCATACATTAACTCTACACATTTACTTTCATAGAATACAAAGAGTCATCTCTTAGAATACCATCCCACTTATTATACTTTGACTCTTAGGATTCTCTTCCACCTAGGATATCACACTATGGCTCTTGGGTTGTTTAGTCGCTAAACACTAATTAGTTTAACACTCCTCCTCAGGGGTTAGCAGGTTTAACACCCATTAGTTCTCGAAGTGTGAGAAGCGATCCTTCGGCAAAGCTTTGGTGAGAATATCTGTAGCTTGATCTTCAGTTTTGCAGTAGATGACCTCCATTTCCTTGTCCACGATCGCGTCCCTGGTGAAGTGGTATTTTCTCTTGATATGTCTCGTCCTTTGGTGGAAGACGGGGTTCTTTGCCATTGCGATCGCTGACTTGTTGTCGCAGATGAGAGGAGTAGGCTGCAATTATTTTTCACCAATGTCATCAAGCATATCCCTCAGCCACTTGATTTGTGATGCTGCTTGAGAAGCCGCCACATACTCGGCTTCTGCAGTTGATAGTGCCACAGACTCCTGCTTCATCGACGCCCAGGAGAACACACCCGATCCGAGTGTGAAGCAATATCCAGAGGTACTCTTCATGTCATCTTCATCACCTCCCCAGTCACTATCGTAGAATTCGAATAGCTTTGCTGAGTTCTTCTCAAAATGGATCCTAAAATTCTGGGTGCCTTGGATGTACCTAAGGACCCATTTAGCAGCTCCCATGTGCACTCTTGTTGCACAATGCATGAACCTGCTTAAGAGACTTGAGGCAAACATGAGGCCAGGTCGAGTATTAGAGAGGTAGAGGAGACTCCCTATGATACTTCTGTAGAGGTTGAGGTCTTCTCCTTCGGTACCGTCTCCCTTCTTGAGTTTATCATTGACCACTAGTGGGGTAGAGATGGGCTTGCAGTCTGCCATGCCGAACTTCTTCAAAATTAACTGTGCATAGGCCTGCTGATGAATGATGATGCCATCTTCGTCCTGCTGGATCCTCATGCCAAGAAAGTGGTGAAGGAGGCCTAAATCTGTCATCTCGTACACCTCCATCATGTCTTTCTTGAACTCATGCATAAGCTTCTCACTGTTGCATGTATAGATAATATCGTCTGCATATACAGCTACAATGAGAATATCTACCTCATCTCTTCGAATATAAAGTGTGGCTTCACTAAGGCTCCTTTTGAAGTTGTGTTGGGTGAAGCAGGAGTTGACCTCTTCATACCATGCCCTTGGTGCCTGCTTGAGATCGTAGAGCGCCTTGTGGAGCTTGTAGACTTTATCCTCGGCTCCTGCAACTTCGAACCCTTACAGTTGATGGATATAGACTTCTTCTTGTAGCACCCCATTAAGGAATGTCGACTTCACATCGAGCTGGAATACCTTCCACCCTTTGTCAGCAGCTAGAGCAATCAAGAAACGAATTGTTTCTAGTCTAGAGACAGGGGCAAAGGTTTCATTGAAGTCCACTCCGGGCTTCTGTGAATAGCCTTTCGCCACAAGCCGTGCCTTCTTCTTGTTGATGGACCCGTCAAGGTTCAGTTTAGTCTTATAGACCCACTTGACGCCGATGATTTTCTTGGCTGTAGGTTTCTCTATCAGCTCCCAGGTGCCATTTTTCTCTATCATGGAGATCTCCTCCTGCATGGCTTTCTTCCAATCTTCTTCTTTGATGGCTTTTTAAATGACTCAGGCTCCAATATGCAAAAATTACATGAAGCGTAAATCTTATTAAGATTTTTGTATCTTAATGGAGTTGTACCTGAGGAGGAAGAAGAACTGGGACTAGAGTTGGATGGTGTGCTTGAGGAGCTAGCACTTGATCTTGATGTGGTTGAGTCGGAGCTTGTTGAACTCGAACCGTTTTATGGAGTTTGCACTTCTGGCTCTGGATCTGGATCTTGGGTGCTCTCTGAATCTAGATAGATGTAGTTTGTGGGCACCTGCTCCTCCTTTTTGAGATCCCAGTTCCACTTGGCTGATTCGTCAAAGACCACATCCCGTGAGGTGACGATCTTTTGAGTCTTCGGGTTGAAGAGCCTGTAGCCCTTTGTATGGCTTGCGTATCCCATAAAGATACACCTTCTTGTGTTCTCCTCTAGTATGGATCTCAACTGGACTAGGATGTGAGCAAAACAAACACAACCGAAAACCTTAAGGTGGTTTAAGGAAGGTTTTCTACTTGAGAATGCTTCGAAGGGGGTATTGTCCTCCAATGCTCTTGTTAGACACCGGTCGAGAAGGTACACTGCGGTGTTGACTGCTTCTCCCCAGAACTTGTAGGGAAGGTTCTTCTCATGTAGGAGACTCTTGGCCATCTCCACGATAGTCCGGTTCTTCCTTTCTGCCACTCCATTCTGTTGAGGAGTGTATGGACATATGGTTTGCTTCTCGATGCCAAGGTTGCTGCAGTAGTCCTCGAACTCTGCTGAAGTGTACTCTCCACCCCGATCACTTCGAATCTTCTTGATCTCCAAGTCTGTTTGTCTTTCCACCATTGCTTTGAACTTTTGGAAGACGGTGAAAGCTTCTGATTTGAGCCTCAAAAAGTAGACCCAGGCCATCCTGCTAAAGTCATCAATAAAAGTGATAAAATATTTTTTGCCGGCCAGGGACTCCGTCTTCATTGGACCACATAGGTCTGTATGGATCAACTCCAAAGGATTTGTTGCCCTCCATGCTCCTTCCTTTGGGAACTCGCCTCGATGCTGCTTGCCTTTCATGCAACTGGAGCAGACACCTTCAATTCCTTCAATGGTTGGGAGGCCATACACCATTTCTCTGCTTTGAAGAGTCTTGAGGCTTTGGAAGTTGAGATATCCGAGCCTCTTGTGCCATAGCCAGGAGGAGTTCACCTCTTCGACCTTTAGAGCTTGAGTGTTCCAGTAGTGCAGTGAGAGAGGAAAACTTCTGTTGGGTTGCATCTTGACTTTGGCCACCAAGTTGTTAAAACTCCTATCATCATAGATCTTCACTGTTTGATCACCAAAAACTAGAAAATAACCGTTAAGGAGCATTTGACCTACACTTAACAGATTTTCCTCTAGACCCGGTACAAGTATTACATTATTAATGTATCTTTTTCCTTTTTTTGTATTTACAGCCAAGATACCCTTTCCTTCAGATTTTACAATATTCTCATTTCCCATCTTTACACTACCAAGATAGAATGTGTCTAAGTCTATCAACAGTGATCAGTTCGCGGTCATGTTGTTACTACAGCCACTGTCAATATACCAAAGACTACCATCACTATCTTTTCCTCCATGACAAGCAAAGAAAACATTACCTTCGCCGTCCTCTTCTTGGTTTGCTAAGACTTGCCGGCGGTTTTGGTTTTGATTTCCTTGAGTCCTGCACTGCTCTTTGGTATGCCCAAATCTGGAGCAGTTGGTGCACTTGGGCTTCTCCTCGAACCAGCACTTCCCTTGATGAGACTTGCCGCAAGTTCTATATGTGGATTTGCTACCTTGTTGGGAGTTACCACTTTGTTGTTGTTGTTGAGGCTTTGGAGCTAAATTGGGCTTGCCTCCTTTCTTCTTCTTCTTTTGCTTCTGGCTCTGTTGTTGATTTGAGCTCATGATGAAGCTTTGGAAGGCTCTCTCCATGGTAGAAGCTTTATTCCTCTTCTCAAGCTTTTGGTCAAACGCCTTGATGGATGTGATTGCCTCTTGTAATGAAAGCTTCTTCATATCTTTTGTTTCTTCTATCACACTTACAATGAGGTCATATCTACTAGAGAGAGAAATAAGAATATTTTGAACTACTCTTTGATTTGTTACATCTTCACCATATGTTTTTAATTGATTTATAACATTAGTGAATCTAGTAAGAAAATCATCGAGTCTTTCTTCTACTCTCATAGAGATTTGCTCAAACTCTTTTCTAATAGTTTGAAGCTTAACCGCCCATGCCTTTTCACTTCCACGGTACTCTTCTTGGAGGATTTCTCACGCCGCCTTTGCTATCTCCTCGTTGGAGATCCTGGGGAAGATGTAGTCGGAGACGGCATTTTGGATCAACCCGAGGGCTTTGGCATCCCTCATGTAGCTAAGCTTTAATGTCTTCTGCTCTGCTGGGGTGAGAGAGTCTTCGTCTTCTGGCACCTCGAAACCTTTCTCCACCAGCTTCCAAAAGTCATGCGCTCTGAATATCGTCCTCATCTTGATCCGCCAAAAGGCGTAGTTCTCCCCGGAGAAGATCGGTGTTCGTATCTCGCCGGAGGTAGGTTTTGGGTCAGACTCAATGACTATTGGGTCAGCCACTTAAACCCGAGATGAAGTTGGAGAATCGACGATTGTATCGGTCATTTTGAGGAGGCTATTTGGAAGAATTTTGGTAGTGGGTGTTGGTGTTTTTGTAGAGGTAGGGTTTCTTAACACTCGGTTGTCGTAATGAAGCTCTGATACCATGTTGTAATTTTGAACTGAGTAGTGAAGAAAACTTTGACTAAGGCTAGTATGATAAATAATTAGAGAGAGAGAGAGAGAGAGAGAGAGAGATGTAGAAGAAGATAGAGAATTTTGTGCTTATGTTTTCTTTTTGTTTTTCATATATCAAATTCTCCCACTCATGGGTTTATATAGACTTATACATAACCCTTCATATTTCATATATTAACTCTACACATTTACTTTCATAGAATACAAAGAGTCATCTCTTAGAATACCACCCCACTTATTATACTTTGACTCTTAGGATTCCCTTCCACCTAGGATATCACACTATGGCTCTTGGGTTGTTTAGGTCGCTAAACACTGGTTAGCTCCTAAGCGGGAGCAGTGGTGTTTCTTGGGACCAAAACGGCCATAAAGTAGTCTCCAAACCGAGGGAGACAGGAGTGAGGAGTAACATCCAACAACGGCAAATCTTGCACCTCATCGCTGGCTTCGCCGCTCCGGATTACAGCTTGCGCTAGCTGCAGCACCATAGGCAACTGCAGACCTTATCAGGGTTGATGCCCTTACGCAGAGCTCCTTCCCGTTAAAGAAATCCCGAAGCGATTGTTGAACATTA